AGCCAAAGAAGGCCGCGAGCGATAGCCTGCTATTCCCTGGCTCAAGCCTCCCCGTGGTACATGAGCTGACATACCTGGTCAGGGGATCCACCTGTCTCCTTCCTGCAGAACCTGCCAAGTGGAGCTGGAGCTTGGCTGGGTGAGAAGGCTGGTCACCGTCTGCCCTCTGCTGGCCAGTGGCGGTATTGAGTCCACTCTCCGACCAATGTGTGGGATGGCTGGAATGAAGAAACATTTATTGAATGACTGCTGTTATGATCAGACACTGTACTGAGCGCTGGGGTGTAAGCATGAACGTGACCTGAGCTCATGGAGTTAAAATTCAAATAAAGACGCAGATGTTCGGAGCTGGGGGTGTAGCGAGGCCCTAGGTTCGATACCCAAGCACTGTAAAATAAACAAAAGATTGACATTAATCAAATAGTCAAACAAATATTAAATTACAACTCTGGGCTATGTGAGCATATTACCTTGGGGCCCTGTTTGGACTGAGGGTGTAGAAGGGGACAAGAAAAACTGCCCCCAGGATGGGGAGTATGGGCGCCTCGCACCTCACAAAGTCATTTTACGTACTGTAGCGCTCCTCTTTGACAAAACAAGGAACAGGCTCAGATTGGGAAAAGAATTTGCCCAAGGTCCCAGAGGGAGCTGGGAGCAAGGCCAGAAGAACCTAGGTCGGATCAAGTCCAAAGTCCCAGCTTTCCCATAGTTCCTGTAGTTGTAACAGGTGGTCAGAGGACGCCGGGCGGGGCCGGGGGTGGAGCCCGAAGGGGCGGAGCACCTATAGGAGACGGGACAGAGGCGGGGTCTTTTCGAGGTTGGAGGTGGAACCTGGACGGATTATGGACTGCGGAGACTGTACCTGGTTGGTGGAAGGGGTGGAGCCGGGATCACACCTTGTCCTAGACGAGGCGGAAGCGCCCGGAAAGTGCAAACCGAGGACGCTTACCTTTTGAGCCTGTGCGCACACGTAGAGGCGGCGACTCCAGCTCCAGGAAGTCCAATGGGCAGCTTCCCAGGTAGGGCCCAACCAGGGCCAGGGAAGAGATGCTTCCCTTTCACCCTGTCCATTTGTCCTGCCATCTGACCTTCTTCCTTTAGCAATCAGATGGGAAGGCATGGGTGGGGAGCCGTCCTAGCTTCCTCCTTCTCCGTGGCCCAGTGGCTGCGGCCTTCCTGGATGGCCAGAAACATGACTCTGGAGAGAAGGAGATGCCAAAACCTCCCAGGGAAGCTGGCCCAGCTTTACCCTAGGCTGATCGTGTGACCTTCGGAAGGACACCCATCCTCTCTGGTACTGAGTGTACTCAGTTGCCAGTTGCAAAGCAAGGTTTCTGATCCTTGCCCTGCCTGCCTTGAGACTGGGCAAGTCAATCAGGGGGACTGAGATGGCACTTTCTGTCTTCCAGGGCAATAGAAGTGTTTACCTGGGCTGGGGTATATAGCTCAGTGGTAGAGCACTTGCCTTAAAAAAAAAAAAAAGGAGAAGAAATGCTTAGCCTTCTGGTCCTAGGTGGAGAGCCACACCCTTCCTTCCCATCTAGATCTGGGAGCCCAGGAGGGCTGAGAGCTCAGACTCAGGACAGCTTGTTTTGGCTTCCCTGTGGTAGAGGGCGGGCTAGCCTGGAAGGCCTCCAGATGTTCCCAGAATGGGGTCTGAGGCTAGGGCAAGTCACCCTGTGAGACTTGCCTGGAGCCACCCTGCTCATTTTGCAAATAGTAAGACCACCATTACGCAGGGCCTTTCATGCCAACTTAATGTCTAAACTGTCAACTGCAAGCAGGGACAGTGATCAGAGGCTGCTACTGCAGTGCCCTCAGGACCAGGCTGGGTGAGTGGGGCTGTGATGATGCCAAAAAGATGCGGCTGCTTCTGCTTGGTGACACATACGGACAATTATTGCTTTATACAAATTATGTCATCATTTACACAGCCATGATGTTATCCCACTTCAGAGATTAACACTAAGACTCAGACAGATGACATGCCCAAAGTCACAGCTAGTAAGTGGCTGTGGTGTTCTTACTCAAAATGTCCCACTGTTATCCATGATCTGGGCATCTGGTAATAAAGCCTAGTCTAGGACAGCAGGAGGGTAAAGGAGGGAATGAGCTGGACCCTGGGGGATGGGATTCAGAGGGCTTGGAAGGGAGGGGTGCCATAAGTCCTGAGAGGTATTCAGCTGACTGGATTTCCAGGAGATGAGGGTAAAATGCTTGGTTTTAGACATGTTAGTTTGGGGGTGGAGGGTTACATAGGGAAGTCAAGTAGATATATATCCCTGTCTGGAGAAGAACAAGGAGGCAGAGCAGAGGCCTGGGAAAAGAAGGTGCCCTTAGGCAGTTGGGGCATGGCTCAAGTGGTAGAAAGCCTACCTAACAAGTGTGGAGGCCCTGAGTTCAAACCCTAGTAGCACCAAAAAAAAAATGTGCCCTCAGGGATGGATGAAGGCAGAGGGGAGGAGACTCATTGGAAGACCCCCATAGGCCGAATAGGTAGATGTGGGGGCATCCATTGGAGAGATGGGAGGAGAGAGGGAGGAAAGAATTCTAGACACCCCGTGACATTCAAGCTGAAATGGGTCTAAACTGAGGCCTGTATCATAGAAGGGAAACAGGCAAGCCTGGGTGGATCTGAGTAGGACCCAAGTGCCCCACCCCTTCCATCCAGTGCCCATCTCTGCCATCTGGTTCTTTCTTCCAGATCAGTGGCTCTCAACTGGGGGTGATTTTGTCCCCAGAAGACATTTAACAATATCTGTAGACAATTTGGTTGTCACAATCTGGGGTGAGAGAGAGGAGGTTTTACTGACCTCTAATGCACAGAGGCCAGGGGCTGCTAAATATCCTACAATACACAACCCCACAACAAAGAATTTTCTGGCCCCAAATAACAGTAATGCTGAGTTGAGAACCCGTGCAGGAGCTAGCCATGCCTGCTGCCCTCCCTTCCAGTACACCCTTTTTGTTCCTAGCAGGGCAGATAGCTCAGGTATGGGCCTCCAGCTGGCCAGACCTTTGCCCCCTCCCCTGCTCTGTGCCTCCCATGTTCACTCCTTTATTTCTGGAAACTTCTGGGTCACTCTGCTTTTCCTGAGCTCACTGGTCTAGATCCCTGCACACCAGATAAATATCTGTTCTTGCCAGTCTATCTGTCTCCCCAGATCTATAGTCACAGAGTTTGGTGTTAGGGAGAAGCCAAAATGGAATTTTTCACCTAGCACACAGTAGGTGCCTTGAAAATAAGTTATTGAATTTGAGTGACATGTTAGGGGTCCAAAGAGTTTCGCTTTACTGCTTTTTCACTTTAGCAATTCAAACCATGCCTTGTGTTTGTGAAGCTCTGACATAGATCAAAGGAATCCAGTACTTGGTCTGCATCCCAGGACAGGCAGAATAGCAGTAATCCCTGAGAAATGCTCTCCTTTGGGATCCTGTCTGTCATTCAGGCTCTTCCAAGAGTAGGCTGTGGATGGTGAACCCTAAGACAGCTCTTCAGAAACACTAAAGCATTCAGGCAGTACTTGGAGATCTTGTGAAAATGCAGATGTGGACTCAGGAGGAGTGAGTTGGGTCCAAGATTCCATGTTTCTAACAAGCTCCCGAATGATTCTGATGCTGCTGGTCCACGGACTACATTCTGAGCAACACATCACAAAGCTACCCTCTCTGCAGACAACTCTGGTGTTGTTTGGGAAGGAGCCCATGGTATGGAGTCAGGAGCCCTGAGTCATTACTTCCCCCACCACGTACACAATCTATGCCCTATTAGCTTCATAGAGCTTGAATAAGTCACTTAACTTTGGATACGTCACTTAACTTGTTTGAGGTGATACATGGCAGGCTGTCCTCTAGGGGTTTGGGAGCAGGGTCTCAGAGAGGCAAGTACACGGTGGAAGTGGGATGGTCTTGGCAGCCAGAGGAGCAGCAGATCACTGACCTGGCCAGCAAGGCAGGTGTGATGAGCTGAAGCTGGTATGATGGTGGGTGCCATGCCAGAGTGGAAGTAGCTCTCAGTCGAGTCCTGGCTTTTCTCTGTGGCCATCACAGCCTCCTGCTGGGCTGTGATCACCCAGCCCTACCTGTGGGACAGCTGGAGGGGCCGGTCTGGCTGGGGAAGGATCAGCTTTGGCCCAAAGCCTGAGTATGGGTCTAAGGGCCTTCTTAGCAGAGCCTCAGTCTGAAACTGGGAGCTGGGAACTGTGGCCTGGAGACTCTGGGGTCAAACTGTGGGCCTGATTGGAGGAGTAGGCCATGGATAGGCATCCCACAAGAAAAACTGGAAAGAATTTGGAATTTGGGGTCCCATGCAGATAGACAGCTGAACCTATTTCTCAGCTAGAGAAACAGAGACCTCTTTTTCCACTTTCCTTTAAAACTGTCACCCATTATCCAGCTGTGCCTGGGCCTGATTTACCATGAAGCTATCCAGTTGCCCATCCCATCCTGTTTCCACAGTCAGGTCATGCCAGTGGTTCACGCTAAGGGCTTTGGGTATGGACCAGACAGACCTGGGCTCAAATCCCAGGTCCTCTCCTTACTAGGTGTGGGACCCTCAGTAAGTCATTCCACCTCTCTGAGCCTCAGCTGGCTCATCGGTAAACAGGAGTAATAACACCTGCTCTGCCAGCCTTGCAGGGTTGTTGTGAAGACTAAATGAGCCATGCCCATGGAACCCCATGGTCATTATCATGAGTCATGGCATTTAGAGGCACAGGCACCCAGGTATTGTCTTACCTGTGCTCTTATTTTTGCAGATGTGGAGATCAGCAGTTGGAGAAGGGAGCCAGCTGTCTGAGGGTCCGACAGCAGGTTGGTGGGTGAGGCTGGGCTAGACCCACATCTCTGGGAGCCCCTCCTCTCTGCGGCTGCTGAGACAAAACAAAGGCGCTCCCTCTCCAAGGCTGGACACAACGTAAGCCTGGGCAGTGGGCAGTCAGGCTACAGAAGCTCCCCACTGAGGGAGTCTTTGTCCATGGCACTATCTCTCTCTACCAGCATCAGCCATGAACTACGTGGGGCAACTGGCTGAGACGGTGTTTGGGACAATGAAGGAGCTATACCGGGGCCTGAACCCTGCCACGCTGAGCGGTGGCATTGATGTGCTGGTGGTGAAGCAGGCTGATGGCTCCTTCAGGTGTTCACCCTTCCATGTACGGTTCGGCAAGCTGGGTGTCCTGCGGTCTCGGGAGAAGGTGGTAAGTGCAAGGTGGCCACTGTGGGCTAGGCTTTTTAAGACAGGACAGTCACTACAATCTTAGAAGAGTACCTGGCCTCCCTAAGGTGGGCATCTGTCCTCTGGGGACAGGGTTCTCTTCTTCAGTATTTTCATTGACAGTTTTGGGGATGGTTTGGGGGTTTGGGTCTGGGAATATCCCCATTTGCCCAAGGAAGAAGCCCAGTGGGGCAGCCCCAGGTGTTGTGGCCATCAGAGCTGGCTCCAGCTTGCTAAGATAAGCCCTCCTCTGTGTTCTTGCTAAATCACCTCAGGTCTTCCAGCCAATCACTTCACCTAGGAACAGGCAAGGTCTTATCTGCCTAGTGATGGTGGTGGGATGGTTTGGGAGAGTAAACAAGCACAGCTAATGCTGCCTTGGGGCCAGGTATGTGGAGACAGTTAGTTCCTCTCCTAGTAAAGCCACACTTGTCTCCACCAGGTTCACATAAACATGACAGAAACTTTTGTTAGCACCAAGGTCCACGTACGAATGGCAGTAAGTGGCATCAGACCCTCCTTGCATTGAGGCAACAGTGAACTTTCTAGTTCAGTTTCCTGATAGGAAAGGAGAACCTGGAGGAGACAGTGTGCCTCAAGATCCTAAGAGCTGGGCTGTGGACTCAGATCTTTTAGGTTCATAGACTCACTTGCTGTGAGGCCACTTCCTCATAAATTACTTAAACCCCCTCCCAAGCCTCAGTTTCCTCATCTATAAAGTGCAGATAATTATAGGAGCTACTACAAGAAGTTGTTGGGAAGATTAAGGGAGATGATCTATATACAGCACCATATGAAATGCCCAATAAGTAGGGATTCTCACCACTGTTCAAGCAGTCAGCAACCTGGAGGCTAGGGAACAGCTCATGAGACAGGTCATGTCCTTGTTTTGTGGGGTGTGGGAGAGAGAGGAGTGTGGAAATCAAGTACTAAACAAGCAGCTAGTCATGCTGAGGTCTGGAGGAGAGAGTTCCAACTGGTGTAGAACTCTAGATACCCAGGCGTTGTGTCTCCAGTGGCCTGGAAGGTGGGCATGAGGGCCTATAGTACTGTCCATGCCACCCCTGGCCACCACTCATATTGCAGGTGGACATTGAGATCAATGGGGAGCCAGTGGATTTGCACATGAAGCTGGGGGACAATGGGGAGGCCTTCTTTGTCCAGGAGCTGGAGAGCGATGAGGTGAGAGCCATCATTCTGGATTTCATCTGCCCCCGCCCCTTCTCTCATGCCTCCTCTGGGCAGTCCTTGGCTTTGTCACTGTCCTTGCCCTCAGAAGCATCCTGTCTGCAGAGGTCTGATGTAGGGGATCAGTTGTGGCTGGCCTCAGACCCTCAGGATATGGTTGCTTTAGAGCCCTGAGAAAGGGGCCAGCTTGGGCTGACTCTACTTCCTCGGAAGTTGGGGAAGGTCACCGAAGAGGGTCTCCTGAGATGGCCCCCTGAGGGGTGAGAAGGAGACCTGCCAGGGAGCGTGGAGAGGACAGGGCAATGAGGAATGGCCAGATGCTGGAAAGAATAGGGCCTGACATGTTCTGTTTTGGTGCTGGCTCTGTGCAGCTGGAGCAGAGAGGTGGGTGGGTGGGGGATGAAGAGAGGGTGTTTTCAGAAGGAAGGCAGAGTCCAGCACAAGCCAACAAAGGAGTTTGAGCTGCTTAAGCTTGGCAAACTTTTTTTTTTGCTGGTGGGGTTTGAATCAGGGCCTATACCTTGAGCCACTCTACTAGCCCTTTTTTTGTGATGAGTTTTTTTGAGATACGGTCTCAAGAACTATTTGCCCAGGCTGGATTCAAACTGTGATCCTCTTGATCTCTGCTTCGTCAGTAGCTGGGAGTTCAGGTATGAGCCACCAGTGTCCAGCAAACTTTAATTGAGCTCCTACTGTATGCCAAACACTATGCAGTAGACTCAGACAAGGGCAACCTCTGCCTTCAAAAAAGTTCCAGATTAGTCTGCCTGGGAGAGAGACATATGAACAACAAATGGTGGAGCTACTTGGTCATTGTACTGAAGGGAGTTGGAACTGTAGTTAGGGCAAGCTCCCTGGAGGAGGTGGCAGCTGACTGAGTCTTAAAGGAGAAATAGGTGCCCACTGTATCTGGGCAAAAGGAGGTGATGAGAAGCTGAAGCACAGGTTTCTGCCTGGCTGCTGGGATGTCACGTAGGTCCTCTGGCATTAGGGGTACTTTAGTTCTTTTAGGCTTGGTGGCCAGCTGAGGCTGCAAGGCCATGATGTTACCATTCTCTGTCCAGCCCCCACACCTGCTCCTGACCATAAATGAGCTCATAAATGAGCTCAGTGCATGGCCTGGGCCTCAGGCAGGGCTCAGGATGGCTGGGTGGTGAGGCAGCCCCACTCCTCTTGAGACCTCTCAGCTATGGCCCCCGGTCTGTTCCACAGGAAGACGTGCCTCCTCGTCTGTGCACCTCACCCATCCCCTGGGGAGGCCTGTCTGGTGTCCCCTCTGACTCCCAGCTTGGCACAGCCAGTGAGCCCGAGGGCCTGGTCTTCATGGGGAGAAGGAAGAGACGTCGTAGGAGGAAACCCAGGCGGAAGGAGGATGCTGTGACCACTGACTCCAGTTCAGAGGAGCTGGAGGCAGGCACAGAGAGTGAGCCATCCCAGCTGGAAAAGCCAAAGCCAGAATCTCCAGGGTGTGTGGAGACCAGGGGGGAGACTGTGGGTGTGGGGTTCAACTCCTGTTTCCTCAGCTGATGCTGCCTGACTCTGGGCAAGGGACTTAACCTCTCTGGGCTTTAGTTACTTCACCTCCCCAAACCCTAATATCCAGACTCCCATGCCCTGCTGGGGGTGTCCTTCCCTGCCGGTGACCATTCCCCTGTGGTCCTTCAGCAGTGTTCAGTCAGCAGGGGAGTCCTCACTGCAGTCCAAAGACATCTACCCCTACTCTGATGGAGAGTTGTCTCCCCAGGCCAGGTAAGCATTTGAGTGGGGTGCAGGCCAAGACCCCTGATCTAGGTCTCAGAATGGTTTCAGTTTTCATCTTTATGATAATTAATGACTTAGAATCCATTTAATATGTTTATTGGTCATTTGCATTTCTCCTTTATAAAATGATCCAATCTTTTGGCAATTTTTATTTTACATGTTTGGCAGTGCTGGGAGCCAAACCCAATTTTTAAATTGTGGTATAATACACATAACATAAAATTCACCATTATAACCAATTCAAAGTGTGCAATTCAATGGTATTAAGTAAATTCACAAGGTTGTGCAGCTGTCACTACTGTCTAGTTCTAGAACCTCCCACGGCCTCAAAAGGAAACCCTGTACCCATTAAGTGGTTGCAGCTTTCCCTTCTTTTTGTGTATTTTAAAACTGGATTGCCTTCTTACTGTTGATTTATAGTTCTTTATATATGTACATATTCTTGATATATTTGCATATTCTTTATATATTCTGGATATATTTGCATATTCTTTATATATTCTGGATTTGACACAGGCATATCGTTGTTGCAAATATTTTTCTCCCAGATTGGGCTGGGTGGCTGGGGTGGCAACTAGCTAGAGGAGTCTCTGAGTACTTGTCCCCTGCAGCCTCTCATCAGGTGGGCTAATGTCCCCAAAGAGTGACTCGGAGCTGGAGCTGCGGGCCCTGGAGCCCAGTCCCCTAAGAACTGAGTCCCACATGCAGTGGGCCTGGGGGAGGTTGCCTAAGGTAAGTTCCTCCATCCCACCCTCAGTCCTGGCTTTTCACCCGGGCCTCCATGAGTTAGGATTGGAGTGACTAAGACCCAAGGCTTTGTGGGACACAGGAGGCAGGCTCTGTACCAGCCCACATCTTTCTGTAATTGTTTGACTGAAGGTGGCCAAAGCTGAGTGGCCTGAGTCCTTGATGGTTCCTAATAGTGGCGCCAAGGCCACCTCTCCTCTCCTGGTGGAGCCCAGCACCTCTTCTTCTTCCTCTGTGGCTGGTGTGGGCCCTTCGGAACCCCCAATCCTGCAAACAGGAGCCAGTGTTGACCTGCGTCAGCCGGAAGTGGAGTACCACTGGAGAGAGACTCTGGTGGGTCCCCCTTTCCCTACTCCAGAGAACGAGCAAACCAAGACTCAGAACTCCAGAGGTGCAGGCCTCTCTTCTGCTGCTAAATCATGGAGCTGGGCCACTCTGGAGGGCCCTGTTCCCGCTGGGCGGCCAGAGAGCTCCGGGGGGAAAGGTGAGTGATGGTTGGACCACTTGCACTGCTTCCCTGGCCTCAGGTTCCCTTGGAGCTCTGAGACGAAGTACATTTTGAACACCTGCTTTATGGGGCTCACGATTCAGTGAAGGAGACAAAAGACATGTGCAAAACAAGGAAAGACATGACACGGAGCCACACAGTGCAGAGCAATTGGTTGGAATGGAGACTATTTAAGTCACATGATCAGGGAAGGGTTTTCTGAGCGGGTGATGTTGGAATTGAGAGGTGAATGATAAAGATCCAGATCCAACCAAGTGAGGAAGAACAGGGAAGAGAATTCTAGGTAGAGAGAGCAGTATAAGTTGGGGCTCCAATAGGAGAAAGGTTTCATGCCTAGGGACTGAAGGCAGCTGGCAAGTCTTGAGCAAGGAGGGGAGAGGACAGGGATACAAATTCCAGGGGATGACTATTCCTAGCTCACAGCTGGGCTTCACCTAAAAGTGGTAAGAAGGCATTTGGCCCAAACTGTCTAAATCCATTGGCACTGGCTTCTCTGTGGTGATTTTAAATTAAACAAAATTTAAAAATCCATTTCTCTGTCACACTAATGCCATTTTAAGTGTTCTCAGTAGCCACATGTGGCTAGTAGCTATTGGACAGTGCAGACATAAGATGTTTCTATCACCACAGAAAGTTCTGTTTCCTTAGGGCATTCAAATGCAAGGGGCCACTTGCTCCTGAAGCCACTGAGTATGTGTTCAGTCTACGGGTGTCACTTCCTCTGCCCTCAGGACCCCTGAAGAGAAGCCAGCACCTGGGCCCCAGTGATATCTACCTGGACGACTTGCCATCCCTGGACTCTGAGAATGCAGCCCTATATTTTCCCCAGAGGTGCCTGGCTCTGGGATTGGGGTCCATGGAGCCAAAGGTCCACAGTCAAGGGCCTGGGAGGAGTGGGGACCCACTTCCCCGTTTCTTGTATTTATATCATTGTTGGCCCCTCTGTCCCCAGTGACTGTGGGCTGGGGGCCAGGAGGTGGAGTGAACCCAGCAGCCAGAAGCTCCTGAGGAACCCCACCCCTGAACATGTGCCAGAATCCGCTCCAGACTCAGTGGACACAATAGCACTGTCCCTCTGTGGTGGACTGGCTGACAGTGGGGACATCTCCCTGGGTATGTTCGACCATGATCTAGCCATGGGTCAGGGGAGGGCAGGTAAGACTCTCGAGGGTGGGGCTGCAGAGGCATGAGGCTGGGCTGGGCTTCTTTGCCATTCTCTGCCCTGGGAGCCCACTCCAGCAAGTGGGGGCTGGGCATTCCCAAGTTCCTGTAAAGCAAATGCTTGATGCTAATCCTTGACTTATCCACTGATTCCCAGGGTGAGAACAGGTGCAAAAGCCTTACGTAGGGAGGAACCCTGCCAGATCAAAGAATTAGCCTGCAGGAAGTGGGTGGGAGAGTATGGGGATTCTGGAGTCCGGTGGTGGCAGTGGGTCACATGGGATGTGCCAGCCTCACCCTCACTCTTTGTCTCTGCACCCAGAGAAGTTCAACCAGTACATCGTCTCCTACCAGGACCTCACCAAAAACCCTGGGCTCCTGGATGACCCAAACCTAGTAGTGAAAATCAATGAGAAGTAAGTGGCAGGATGGGGCTGCTATTGATCCCAGTCACCTGCTTTCCATGATTCTGCAGCTGATGCAACCCTGGTACCCCATTCTGTCTCCCTAGGCACTATAATTGGGCTGTGGCTGCCCCAATGATCCTCTCCCTGCAAGCCTTCCAGAAAAACTTGCCTGAGGTAATGGTTGGGGCCATGGCCTTGATGTCTGGCTCAATGATGAAATGGAGGGTGAGCAGAGGTGGGCCTAGGGGCCTGCAGCTATAAGAGCCACTCAGAGAAAGAAGACAGACATCGCCAGATCCTTGCCCATTCTTTGTAGACAAAGGCCACCCTTCTCAGGTTTCCTGGCTATAACTGGATCCTGTTACACTTGACCTTTATATCAAAGGAGCGCAGGACAAACCAGAGGGGAATAAACATCCCAAACACTCCTAAACTGGGACAGGCCTTCAACAGGAGGATTTTGGATATAAAAGATGAGGCCTGGGAGATGGGGTTCCACCCTTCACCTTCCTCTAAGACTATCCTTCCAGGCTAGTCTATGTTCTAGGCCCAGGATGGGGACAGTCATGAACCAAACAGAAACTGTCCCCACTCTCTAGGAAGTCAGAGTTAATCACATGCCCAACTAAGTATCAAATTAAGCTAAGTGCTGGGAAGGAGCCACCCAGGTTGCTATGAGCCTATGATAGGGAGTTTGCCAAGCTAGTGTCCCCTGGGCAGACTGGAGGCTGTGGCCTTGAGGTTGGAGCAGGGAACTGTATGTACAGATGCTCAGAGGTGGGAAGGGACCCAGCCTCTTCACTCCCTCCCAGCACCTTCTCCTGGACCTCCTGGGTTACCTGTCCTCTCTCAGAAGACGGTGCCCTCTCAGACAGTGCCAGTCTGTGACTGTACCTGCCCCTTCTGCCCCTCTGGGAGTCATCCAGGGTGCCCCCCAATCTGGCCCCTTGTTCTTCACTCAGGTTTGTCCAACAAGTATTACCAGTCAGATGTTGACAGCTGGTGCCTCCCTTTGGTGACAATGAGCTCCATCATTTGGTTCACCATGGGTCAGAGCTAGAACCCAGAGCCTCTGGGAAGGAAGACAGCCACTTCCTCTCTTAGCTCTACTCACCTTACTCAGTCAGACCCACCACTTGAGGCCCCTGAGAAACCCCCTGCAAACCTGCTCTCACTGCAAGGGGTCACCTGACTGATCCACCCTGATCCCCGTGTCCTCCTGACTTGAGTTCTCATTCTACATCTGTAGGATGCTGAAGTGTCCCCAGGTGGGCCTCAATCTGCTCTCCTCCTAGGGTTATCTAGCACACATCTAATCAGCATTTTTCACGAGGTCATGGTGCACCAAAACCAAAGTGATGGTAACATACCGGATAGGATTACTGACCTTAGGAGGTTGCCTTGTCTATCTTGGAGGTTCTAGCTACAGTCTCTTCTGCTGCCATTTGGTAGCATTGTGCAGGGAGTATTTGTTCTCTAGAAAATCCAAAGCAGCGCTACCTTCAGCTATTTTAGTAAGCGGGCTGACTTGCAAGACTTGGAGTCCGACTGAGGCTGGACTGAGCTAGGGAGTCAGGACTGGGGAACAGGAATGGCCCTTGGTCTCCCATGTGTAGTTCCATAAGTCATTGCTTACAATCGTGTCGGTGGGGGTGGGGGGAAGAGGGGTGAGAATGTGCTTCCTCAACCTCCAGGTATTGCTCCACATTGGTCTCGGGTTGGCTGAGATGCTGGGCTTGTGAAAATCCCAAGGGCAAAGTAAGGTGGGGTTGTGTGGTATAGAAAGAACTTCTATGGCTTTCATCTGCCCACAGAGCACGGTGGACAAGCTGGAAAAGGAGAAGATGCCGCGGAAGGGTGGGCGGTGGTGGTTTTCCTGGCGACGGAGGGACTTCCCAGCAGAGGAGGTGGGTGGTCATGGTCACAGAGTGGGGCTGGGACAGGGCAGGAGGTGGGGTTCACTCATAGATGTTCTTCCCACAGCACAGTGCCCAAAGGGAGAAAACCACATCCAGAGAGCAGCAGGGGTGAGTGCACCTGTGGGTTCTGCAGCTGGAGCCTGGGAAGGATTGCTCTGGGCGGGGGCGGAGCCTGTACCCCTTCCCCAGCTGTGGCTCTTTGTCTTTCCTCAAGCGCTACTGTCTTCAGAAGTGTGCCTCCTTCACAGAAGGGAAAACTGAGACCTAGAGACACATCAAATGTCTCTGAGCCAGGAAATGGCAGAGATATAATAGGAGTTCAAACTTCTGGCCCTGTTGAGGAGCTGCAGCATTAAAGAGAGAGAGGCTTCTCTCTTCCTCTAACTTATGGGGACCAGCTGACTTGGATTCCCTGTTTCAGTCTCAGATCCAGCCACCTGAGCTTAGGTGGAGGGTAATGAAGGATGGGCTTGTTGAAACCAAAGCAGGTGGCACTGGGAATATGCCCCAGGATGCATGCCAGTTTGTTTCAGGATGACATCTCCAGGGCAGGCCCTGCATCTGGCTACAGAGGCACACTAAGGCTGGACAGCCTGGGCCTCTATCTGGGCGGACACTGGAAGATAGCACTCCACATGTGTGGCACCTAGAGGGAGAGGTAGCCTCTGGACTGACAGGGACAAGCTCCAGGGTCCTCATGCCCTGGACTGCAAGGGCCAGCACCTACTACAAGTGAAGGGCTTTCAATTGGTGGAGGTGGCCTGAGCCCCAGTGCTGCCCACAGAGAGAAGACTGAAGTTTTAAGCAGTGATGATGATGCCCCAGACAGCCCTGTGATCCTCGAGGCCCCCTTCCCGCCACCTTCCACTCCAGCCTACATTCCTACCTACAAGAAGTCCCTCCGCCTCTCTTCTGATCAGATTGTAAGTGTATGCACACATGGATTCATGTGTAGAGGGATTGGGAATGAGCTAATTCTGTCCCAAGATGAGACGTGGGTCATCAAAATCCAGAGTCCATCCTTGAGGGCCTCTCCTTAAATACCTCCTGGGGTGGGTGCTCACTTCTTTAGTGCCAGCCCATTTCTCTGTTGGGTGCTCTGATTGGAAAAGTCCTCTCATGTTCTGGAATATCTACCTGTAGTGAACTGGTTGGCTCTGGATCTGCCTTTGGAAGCCACACTCAAGGAATCAAGGCTGATAATAGTTTCTTAGATTTTGGCAGCCCCATTCCTTCATATCATGTGTTCTCTGACCTCCATAGCTGGTAGCTTCTGTGATAAGAACATGTTTTCTTCCTGAGTGTGGCTCCATGGTCAGCAAGGGTTTCACCAGCCTGGTACAAAGCAGCTGTCATCTGTCTGGTACCCTGGGGCTCACACCCACTTCAGGGTGAGCCACAAAGTCACCTGACTTTGGTGGAGAGCTACCCTCATCCTTCTCCATGGACCACAGAGCTAGGCCTCTCTTTAGGAAAATGTAGAGTCAGGCACCCTAGCTCCAGAAAGGGGCTTCCTGTGAAGATCTCACAGAAAGACACTCCTATCTATAGAGTGGGATATCTCTCTGCCAAGAGCAGCCTCACCTTGGGGCTGACCTAGAAATCTGGGCAGGTAGTCACAGGCATTGTTTGTGTGAGATTCATCTCAAAGGGGAATAAAGGGAGGTCAGGGCTGCCATGCCAAATGTTGTGCAGGGATCTGACCAGTACGGGCACATTCTGCCCACATGGATATTTGTTTGTGTGACTATTGTCAGAACCTTTAGGGTCTCTGAGTTTAGAGGAAGAGATAATGAGAGGCCTGTGGGGATTAAAGGCCACAGATGGACAGTGCCTGCTTGTGGAGGGTAACAATGTCCTTGCCCTTTGTCTGGCTCCAGCGGTGCCTGAATCTGCATGAAGGTGCCAACGATGTGGTCTTCAGTGTGACCACCCAGTACCAGGGAACCTGCCGCTGCAAGGCCACCATCTACCTATGGAAATGGGATGACAAGGTGGTCATCTCTGACATTGATGGCACCATCACCAAGTGAGACCCAAGACCCACCTGGCTGTGGGAAAGACAGGGAGGGCCTGGAGACTCACCTCCCTCTGTTCTGGGTGTGTGTATGTGTGTGTGGTACAACAGTGTGGGAGGCCTTTCCTTCAGGATGTGCCATCTTGGGGCTGGGGTCTAGGCCCCATTGGGCCATACTCTTGGAATGTAAGAGCTATGTGGAACAGCCTGAGTGACCCTTCCTCTCTGGCTGTAGGTCAGATGCTCTGGGCCACATTCTGCCCCAGCTGGGGAAAGCCTGGACACACCAGGGTATCACCAGTCTCTATCACAAAATCCACCTGTGAGTGCTGGGCTGCGGCTGGAACAGGGTCCCTTGGTGGAGGGAGGGGGTGACAGGATGTCTTAGGCCACTGTGATCTCTGCCCTGGGAAGCCAGGCTTGGAGACCAGAACACCCACAGTGGAAGCAGCATGGCAGGTCAATGGAGCACTGAGACCTGCTGGCCTCAGGCTGGGGAAAGCCCCCTTCCATTCTGGTCCACTGGGTCTTGGGACTGTGTCCACACTCTTTCCAATTGGGAAAGCTACTGGAGCTACCTTTCTCAGGCCTGGCCTAGCCATTCTCCCTAAATCCCCTCCCTGCATAGACCTCTGAGTTTAAAGGCCAAGAGCACCAGAGTTGGTCTGGCTAGCCAAAGCCAAGAGGGTAGAGTGTTCTGGCTGGTCTCTGATGCCTCTATACCATCCTTATTCCCCATCCCCAGAAATGGGTACAAGTTCCTATACTGCTCAGCACGGGCCATTGGTATGGCCAATCTCACCAAGTGGTACCTGCAGTGGGTGAGTGAAGGTGGCTGTGGCCTCCCAAAGGGCCCCATACTGCTGTCTCCTAGCAGCCTCTTCTCTGCCCTCCACAGGTAATATTCTACACAACATAAGCCCACAGGCCCTTGGGGGGAGAGGCAGGTTCACTCTCTGGCCTGCCCAGGATGGCAATCACTCACTTGTGGGTATTAGCTGTGGCTGGGTCAGACTCTGTGTCACCTAACTATTCTACCCTCTCTTTTTTCTGCCCCTCCTCTGCTCCCTTCTCTGTCCGTGGTGTGGTTGCTCCAGGGAAGTGATTGAGAAGAAGCCAGAGGTGTTTAAGGTTGCCTGCCTGAGTGATATCCAGGAGCTGTTTCTCCCCCATGGAAAGCCCTTCTATGCTGCCTTTGGGAACAGGCCCAATGTGAGTGAGCCCCTTTTCCATGGCTGTACTCCATCCCTCTTCCCTCAGTGGTCTCAGTTCCAATACCTTTGTCCTCCATAGGATGTCTTTGCCTACCGGCAGGTGGGCCTACCTGAATCCCGGATCTTCACAGTCAATCCTCGGGGAGAGCTCATCCAGGAGCTCATGAAGAACCACAAATCCACGTGAGACCATGTGTCCCCATGACCTGCCATATTTCCATATCCCAGTCTCTCACTGGACCCCAATCTTACCTCCTCCCCTGGACAAATCCTGGGTGGGATGCTGAGCTTTCACCTCCCATGGTAGAGGCCATGGCCTGGTGGTGACTTAGGCCCTCAGTGGTGCCCTGTTCTGCCCGTAGGTATGAGCGGCTTGGTGAGGTGGTTGAGCTCCTCTTCCCGCCTTTGGCCCGTGGCCCCAGCACAGACCTGGCCAACCCTGAATACAGCAACTTCTGCTATTGGCGCGAGCCACTGCCTGCTGTAGACCTTGATGCCCTGGCCTGAGCTTATGCTGGCTTCCCCTCCGCCCTGGCCTTGCTCAGGACTGACCGGGGGTCTGGGAGTACCCCTGGTACCCTGGCCAGTTGCCACAGGGCCAACCCATTGAAGGGGAAAGAAGGCTGCAGCCAGAGAGACCCTCCCTTCTCCCAAAGGCACAAGGAACAAGGCAGCTGCTCCAGGACTCAGTATCACCCTGACCTGTAGCAATTAAATGTTTATCACCTAGGCCCTTGCAGAGTTCTCCCTTGTTGTGTCTATCCCTGACACCCTGGGGCATTGGCTAAGCTCCTAGTAGGACAGAGAGAAGAAGGAGGCCCCATGGAGATGTGAAGCCTTGGATAAACAGGGAAGTGGGGGTTGGCAGCAGCAGGGGTGTCTGGGAAGAACATAGTGCTCCCCACCTCACTTTGGGAGATTATATACCCTTCAAAGCCTGGCCTAACATGGCCCTGTGCTGAGCCAGGCCATCAGTGCTTCCCCTTGCTGGTGCCCTGGTATCTCAGCCCCAAGTTCGGATGCTCCAAGGCCTCTCCGGCACCAGAGAAGGGGAATTCAGGCCATGTAAGAGCTGAGGGAGCAGGGTTCCTGCTTGCCCCATCCACTGCCCTGATTCTCTTGGCACTTTCCCTGAGAACTCAGCCCCAAATCGGCAACCACAGTTGGTGTTGTCAAGTGCTCTTTCTGGGCTTCTGCCGGTCACTTCAGTGCTCAACTGCTAAGTGAACTGTGGTTCTAGGCTCTGAGAGGCCCAGGGTGATACCACAAGCAGCCTTCCCTCCCACTGCTGTTAGTGAAGAAAGCACCTTTATACTGACTAAAAGCTTTAATCCAGAGTCTGCTCTCCAACAGTGCCAGAGTCAAGGGCACAACACCAAATGTCCAGAAACCAGAAGATAGGGCTGTGGGAACCTGCACACAGCACAGAAGTTGTGCTGCTGTGGGGAGAACTGAGACCAGGAACTTGAGCACAGTCAGGTATCAGAGTCTCTGAAGAGTGTGCAGGCCAGAGGAAAACATGCATTTTCCTGTTATCTCTGGATAGTCTCATACCTGAATTTCTCACTGTGTGAACATCCTGGCAGGGCTGGGGTTTTGCAAGGATGTTAAAAGCAAGGTCAGGATCCCGTTTGCCTGAGAAGATCCTTCTTCTCAGGATTTGATCTCCTTCAGGCCCCAGTATACACCAAGGCTGCTCTTAGCAGAAAGGTACTGACCTGGAGGGAAAAGGCTTTCCCTGACTAGAAGGAGGAGAACCACATGGACACCATACTACTCTGAAAACTTATGTGGGGAAGGAAAGGAAAAGTTGGGGTGGGGTCTCCAAACAGATTGCTGGATCCAATTCTTTCCTCTGGGAGTTTACAGCTGCCTACGCCCTCACTATGAGGGAGGATCAAAGGAATAAAGAGTACTCTCCGCTGGGTCTCTGTGCTTCAGTTCTGTCCTGAAGGATGTGTGAGGAGCTGGGAACCTCAGATGACCTCGCGTCCTTGATTCACAAACAGCATCTGTGAAGCTGCTAGGTGTGAAGGCAGTTCCAGTGGGTATCACCTTCCTTGCAGAAACTTCACACAGATGTTTAGGGATAGAGGCCAAGGGACAAGGGAACAGATGCCTCTAAGGGCTGCAACTTCCCCTCATGGGCAAAGGGAGTTGTCGTCGGGCCCCCTGTCTGACACTGGGCCTGGAGATCTCTGCATAGTTGCTAGCTCTAGTGTGTCTGCCCAAGGACAAGTTGCAACTGTGGTATATGCAGTCTCTGAAGTCCAGCCTGGTTTTCAGGCACAATGGATGTCCTTGCCTTGACAGCTATCCTGAATTATCCAGTTTGTGCAGCACTGAGCATGGCTTTTGATGGCCAGGACAGTCATGCGGACCTGGACCAGGACCATTCATCCAGTGACCTCTGAAGTGGCATCTGAAGTGGGCCAGGGGAGGTTGGGAGGCACTGTTGAGTACCGCTGGGCTCTAGGGTCATGTTCCTTGGGTTGTGGGGTCTGGGGCTTGGATACTGTCCAGTCTGCCTAATTGGCTTGCCCTGGCCTCATCTGCTCAGCCAGCTGGGCCCTGCAGTCCAATAGGTCATCCCGGAGGCGAGCGATGTCCTGTGCATGCTGGGCCAGCGTGCGATTCAGCTGATCTACGTGGCCCCATAGGCCCTCTCTGGACCTAAGTGGCTTGGTGGGCAAGCTGTCCAGTCTGGCAGAGAGCAGGCCCAGCCTCCTGCACGCACCCTCCACTTGTGCCACCCGCTGGTCAAAGTGGTCTACTGCATGTTGGAGTTCCTGGGCTGTGTCCTGGCAGCGGCTCAGACTCCCAGCCACACTGGCCACACCAGCCTTGAGTTGCTCCAGCTCCCCCTGCAGGTTCAAGACCTGTCTGTGACCAGCCTGAAGTCTTGAACTTTGGCTGCTGACCTGCTCCTGAATAGCGTGGACTTCAGCTTCCACCTTGCGTCCTCGCTCATCCAGGGACGTGTTGGCAGCCAAGAAGGCGTCAGAGTACTGACTGACAGAGTCACTGAGGCCTGTGAGTGATTTGCTCACTGAGTTCAAGTTGACTTTCAACAGAGTGATCTCGCCTTGGAGTGAGCTGCCTGACCCTTCTGCCAGCTGTCCCTGGACTTCTGCCACAGTGCCATTGAGCTGCTGGAGCAGAGCCGTGTGTCTGGCCACCTGGTGTAGGAGGGCTTCACTCCGACTTTGCCAGGCCTTCACCTCTGCCACGAGATTGTCCAGGATGGCTGAGGTAGTGCTGGGAGTGCAGGAGGTCTCCAGTGAGACCAGCCGTTGTTCCAGCACTGCCAGCTCTGTCTGCACGAGAGGCCGTGCTGACCTGCCTGGTGGGGCACCATCATGGCTTAGTTCTCCGGCCAATGTCGCTAGACGCTCCTCTAAGCTCTGCACACGTTCTTCCAGCATGGACGTGAAGCCGCCTACACCCCAGCCTCCCATCTCCATTCGCAAACAGCAGCTTCTTGCTCCATTCTCTGTCCCATTGATGGTTGCCAGGCCTTCAAGCAGCCCATCCACACCTCCTTCAAGCATGGCAGCAGAGAGGTGCTCTAGATCATCCCCAGCCTGGGCACCAGGACCCTTCTGGGTCTCGGTGACTGTCTGCAGGTTCCTCTCAAGGCTGTCCACTCGGGCACTGATCAAAGCCAGCTGGCTACAGCAGCTGCCCCCACCAGCCACACTCAAGCCCTGCAGCCGAGTACCCAACTGTGAGAGCTCCCGACGCAGGGCCAGCTCCCGGCCATTGAGGCTCTGGTGCAATCGCCGGCTGGCTGCCTGGTCCTCCTCACACTGCCTCCTTACCTCCTGCATCCGCAGGTCACACTCACTCTGGACACCTTGCAGCTTCTGCTCGAAACCATCCAATAGGCTCCCCCAGAGTCGCTGTAGCCGTTTGTCCACATACTCTTCTAGCAGTGCCAGGGAGGTCAGAGGGGATGGCGGGGCCTCCCGCAGCTGCTGTAGGTGGGCCTCGTGGCCGAGGGCCAGCCCATGCACCTTGTCTAGTAACTGCACCTTGGTTCGCAGCGTGTTGCTCACCTCTGACACCTTGCTCAGGATCTCGCCCAGGGGAGGTGCGAATGGTCCTCTGTCTCTGTCTCCTGGGTCCACAAGCCCCTCAGGGATAACCCCAAAGCCCACAGGGGCAGCAGGAGTCCTGGAGTCACCAAACACCCTATTGGGATGCTCACGGCTAGCCACCAGGCCACTAAGAGTACCATATGCTTGTGCCAGGCGCTGGACATCACCCTCCAGGCGTTCCAGCCGCTCACCAAACAGCCCTAGGCCTTTCCTTCCTGGGAAAGAGAGGGAGAGATCCCAGGAGCATCACAGGCTTGCCCTCACATTGTGTCACACTGCCAAGCCACCCAAGAGGTTTCCTGTGCCCTTTTCCATGCTTTGAGCCAGGGGTCAGGGGATGGAAGCTGAAGGCTCACTGTTATGCCCAGTGTAAGATGTACTCTCCCCAATCCCGCCAGAGCTCAGCTAGCCTGGGTCAATCCCCGCCCTCTGCCCTTGAGCCCATACGCCCGATCTTCCTGGAAAGGTGTCCACAGGTAAACTCACCATGGGGTCTGGGGGTTGCTTTGCTGTAAGAAGGGGGTCTGGGGCCTGGGCCCAGCTGCCCTGAGGGAATTTGGGGTTCCTGCTCCTGCTGGGGTGGGTTGGCCCCAGGGTTTGTGAGGTGCTCAGGGCAGCCTTCTCCAGCGAGACCAGGGCAGCAACGCCAGGCGAGATCTGTCACTGTCTTGATGCCAACCTTATATCTGGGTCTGAGCACTGAGCGGTACCTGGGTTAGGAAGGTGAGAGGGCAGGTCTTGCACCTATGGACTGAGATTCCTGTCCCCAGCTGGCATTCAGGGCTACCCTTGGACACCTGCATAAAGTTTAGATATTTCCCCATCTCCATACCACTCTCCAGGAGTTTCTTTTTTTTCTTTTAGAAAAACGACAACAAACCCAGTTGTGGTTTCAGGTAGGGCGCTTCTAAGGCTCTGAGCCTCCTGGTGAGTGGAGGACACAGGTAGAAGCCATGCTCCATCCTGGTGGTGGCTTGGGGAGAAAGCTAGCAGTGATTAAGCCCCAACCCTCCTAAGACCATTTGACCCATTCTGTGGGTAGAAGGGGCATTGCCTCCCTCAGGGCCCTGGAGCCACTCTGGGGTCCCACCTGCTTCCCTTAGTTCTTTCCACTCCTCTCTAGCCTATTCCAAGAACTCAGCTCTGTTCATTGAGGCTAGGGGAGGATGCCTCTGGTTTCAAACAGGGAGGAGAAGACCCAGGGTGCAGGCAGGGCTCACCAGAGGCCACACCTTCATCTGTTCATCCATGTACCTGTGTACCCACTGACACACTGGGGCACAGGTCCATTTCCAGACACACACATCTGAACCTTTCCAAACACAGACCTGTGCGTCATGTCTCTGTGAAACATCCCCACCCAGATAGCTCCACCAATCTGGCCTTTGCCTGGGTATCTGGCTCCCACCTGTCATCTCTGCCCCACTTTCTCATGATCACCACAGTCTTCCCTGGGTCTGCCCATGCCCCCTGTAGTATCAACCATTGCCCGAACAAGTCTCTGTCCTCTCCTTCCTTATATACTCTTAGTCTTGTTCTGCTTCTCTCCTCAAAACCCTTCCATTGTCCCCCTATGGTTTCCAGGCTTCAACTTAAGCCTGTGCCTGACTCATGAGTGAGGCCCTGCTGCAAGTTCAAAACCTTGAGGTCTTCCCTAGCCTACTTATGGGGCCCTGGCCCACTCTGGCCTGCACTGGGACTTAGGTGGCTCTTTAGAATTCAAAAAATTACGGCCCTTTTGGAGTTGGCTCTCCTCTCAACTGAAGGCAGCACTGGGGCTCCCAAGAGGGTGGGATGGGAGTGCACTCACGTGACTGTTGCAGGACACTTGGGCCCCCATCCACACTGCCGGTACTCAGCCTTCACGTAGCTCTCTGCTCCCTCTTGTAGGATGCAGGTCACATTCCTGTGTACCACATAGGCACAGAGGGCCCTACAGAGGAAAATGGCACCTGTGAGCTATCTGGCCCCAGCCAAGCCCTTTAAGGCCTCTACCCTCTTTTCCCCACCTGTTGGCCTTAGCAGCGGACCAGACTCCCACTTCTCTTTTGTCTGTTCTTGTTTCTAGAAGCCAGGGCCTTTGCCTGGGGTCCAGATTCTTCTGGGCTGGACTCAATCCCACCGCTGGTCTCTTTGATTCTTATGTCCTCTATTGGTGGCCACTGGGCTAAGGGCTACAATGAACCAGGAGCCCAATGTAGCTGCTCACCCTACCTGGGGAAGAGGCCCACTGGTTTCTCTGCCAAGTGCCTTTCCACATCTCCCACCCCTAACTCCTTCACCAGTTCCAAACTCTTTATCTTGGGCTTCAAGGATTCTGAAATCCCAACTTAGTGGCCTCCTTTCTCCCCTGAAACAGCTTCCAGTCCCTGCCTTTGCCGTTTCTTCACTCAGACCATTTTTTGTGTTGTCTCCTTCAGGCACATCAGGTCCACTGGGAGTGGCTGTGGGCTGGACTCTCTCTTCCTACAATACTTCTCAAATTCAATTAAGAGTTCAAATTCAGGCTTGAGCCCACTGCTGTGGACGCCTGCCTGTTCCGCAATAGGTATGTAGAACACAGAGGCTCCCACTAGCTTTTCAGACAGCCACTTTGGGGCTCCCAAGGGGAGGGGCTGACCGCTGGAACCAAACAGCAGGCAGGGGCATGGCTCCGTCTACTACCTGGCGGGGCGAGGGCGAGATGGAGGGCCCGGGAGCCGTGTTACAGGACGAACAGCCCTTCCTCCTCTCCCTCCACCTGGTCCACCGCGCCCGGAGTTTGCACACAGCGCAGCTGGAAAATGTTACTTTGCTGGAAAGGTTTCCGCGGGCACTGCCAGGATCCCAGCCACCGCGCCGGGCCCCCTCGCTTCTTTTTCTTCTCCAGTCCCGCAGCCTCCTGGAGCGTAGGGCGCCCGCCCTAGCAAGAGCTCAGTCCTGGGCATCCTCCCCTCCGAGTCGCGGCCGGGGGTACCCTGGGCCTCGACGCCCCCGCGCGGTCCGGGCAGGTGGGAGCGGCGACCCGCCGCGTGGGCCCCACCCCTCCCGTTCCCGCCGCTGCGCGGCCCGCGCTTACTTGTGTGGCCCCGGGCGCAGCCGCGGGCGCCATCCCGTCGTGTAGAGGCTGTAGCGGGAGGCACCGGGCGGCGCGGGCCGCGCGAGGAGCGGGGTGCCCTTGGCCTGCGCTCCTGTGAGCAGCGCCGCGACGGCGCACAGCCAGACGGACAGACGGCGGTGGCCCATCGCGGTCCTGTCTCCACCTGGCTCCGCGCGGTACCCCCCGCGGGTGTCCGCCCGCCGCCCTCTCCGCTTGCCGGCCCGGGTCCCGCCGCCACTCGCGGTGCCCGGAGCGCGCTCACTTGGCCGCCTGGCGCTCCGCGGCGGTTGTGTCCCGCCGAGTGGCCGGCGCTGCTCGCGGCTGGGGCCGCAGAGGGGAGGCGGGAGGCGGGCTCTGTGCAGATTAGCATAAACTTGGGGCCGCGCCACTCTCCTCTGCCAGCCCCCTCCTCTGCTGCCAGCCCCCCGCCCCGGCTCCGAGCTGAAGCCCGAGCCGCCTCCTGCAAGCAAGAGGTTAAGAAGGGAACAGGCGCGGGTTGGCGGAGCGCAGGCCGCGGTGCCCAGAGACGCCCCCCGCACTTACCCTGCCACTACGGTCGCCGGTGGGTACAGGCCAGAAGCAGAGAAACAGAGCCCTGAGGCTGGCCTGGCCGCTGGCTCTCCAGGAGCCGCCCACTCGCAGGATATCGTGGTCTTAAAAGTCTAAGTGTGTCTGGGTACCGCGGTTCAGGGATCTGGAGCCGAGATAATTGTGTTTTGGGGCGTACCAGCACTCCCTCCCCAGCCAGACTGTTCCTGCAGGCTCGCTCGTCGTTGTCTGGTGGTACCCGGAGACCTGATAACTCCACAGACTCCTCTTCCCATCAATCTCAGTAACCCAGTTTAGTGGCCAGGCTGTCCCTCTGGCTTGTTGCTTGTGCGTGTGCGCGCGCGCGCGCGCGCGTGTGTGTGTGTGTGTGTGTGTGTGTTGCTCAAAGAAACTTCTGAATCATTTGAACCACAGCTCTGGTTTGTTATTAGCCTCCTGTCAAAGAAAACCTTTAGGTCTTTCTCATAGGAAGTTGTACTTAAGTCAGGCTTCCTCCATGTTTCCGTGGTGAAATTGACTCTTGGAAACAAGGAGTTGGCTTTTATAGTAATCGACATCATCTTGTTAACTTCCTAACCTGCAAGGAGCCTTTGGAATCCTGATTCTGTCATCCAACAGAGTAGCACTTCTTTCTGGCTTTGTCTCATCCACACAGGTGACTGCAGCTGTTTGTATCTTCACCCAAGTGTCTGACAGCTGTGTAGAAGGCACTGGACTGCAGGGCCTGCCTGGAAAGACCTCGTTCTAAACTGACTTTCAGGTGTGAATATACACGTTTTGGGCAAGGTGATGGTATCTAGAATATTGGAAAGGGCAGGTCTGAACTCATATCCATGGCTCTGCCCTCTCCCAGCCATTGGAAGACACCTGACCCAACCAGACGGATTGTCCTTTCTCCTGAGCTTCAGGGAATCAGACTAAAAGTCCAGAATCAAGGTATTAGCAGGCCGTTCTCCCTCTGAAGGCTCTCAGGAAGAATCCTTTCTTGGCTCTTGGCAGTCTTGGCCGTCTGGGTTGCAGCAGCAACACTCCCATCTCTGTTTCTCTCTGTATCTTCACACACACACACACACACACACACACACACACACCATGTAGCATTACTGAGGTTTTGAACACAGGGTCTTGGCTTGCTAAGTAAACATTCTGCCACTTGGGCCATCCTTTTGGCTTTAAGTTGTTTTAGACAGGGTCTCTTGTTTTTGCCTGAGGCCAGTCTCAGACCTCATCCTCCCATGTAGTTGGAATCACAACTGCATACTGGCTGGTGCCTGGCTTATTTGTTGAGATGGAGTCTTGCTAACTTTTTCCCCAGGTTGGCTTCAATCTCTGCTTCCTATGTATCTGGAATTACAGGTGTGAGCCACTGTATCTGGCACTCACATGGTCTTTTTCTGTTTGTCTGTGTGGCCTGTCTTATTAGGATAACAGTCATTGAATTTAGGGCCCAACACAACCTTATCTTAAGTATGTCTGCAAAGATCTATTTCCAAATAAGGTCACATTCTGGGGTTCTGGTGGACGTGAATTTTAAGGGGAGGAGAGCTCTATCCAATCCACTATGGGGGCTTTTAGGGGTGGTGAGAAGACACACTATGGCATGCTTTGCAGAAGTTATGAGGAACTGAGGGCTGGCTGAGCGACTGAGCCAGAGACAAGGGGCTGTGGTACTCAGGGAAAAATATGGTACATAGCCATTTGGTGATGCACTATGGCTTCCCTGTCTGCTTCCAATGATCCACCATTTGAGCAACTGAATGATGCTCAAGACAGCTTTGTGCCCTCCTCCTAAAACCCCAAATGCTGTATTATATTGTCTAACTTTAACAGAGATGTTATGAGCCATTTTGCTAGGGGCAAAGACATAGCACCCATGTGACTTGATCTTACAACCACTGACTTTCTGCTTTTCAGAAAGTGAGAGACATCTGAGGGGGAAATAAGCAGAGCTTAGTTCCTCACCCAAGGCCGGGTTCTGCTTGGCAGCACTGCCCAGCTGGCTCCGGAACAAAACTCCCTCACCCCAGGAGCTGTGATCTTTTTCCAAGGGGGTCCCACCCCTTCCTTTCACTCCCTTCCCCAGCCCCAGATGTGGGGCCCACAACTCATAGGAAGGAGGCCGGACCCTATTTGAACTTGAAAATGTCCATGTAACAGGGCTGGAAGAACAGCTGGACCCCTCTTCCCCTTTCCAGGTGGCTGACATAAAAACCAGGCTCTTTCTTTAATTAGAACAGTTTGGGGAGCCAGGGCTTGGGCCCCATCCTTGTGGAGGCAGAGGAGGTCAGCACAGGGAGATGCTCAGGGTTTTAGCTGGATGCAGCCAGAGTCTGGGGTCTCCCTGTAGACGATGAGGCCACTTTGCATCTGCCAGACAGGAAACCTAGGGAAGCCAGAGGCAGGGGAGAGAGGCAGACAGTCATGTTCTCCCTGACTCGGATCGGAGTTTCTCCACCTGGAGGGACTCCAGGCTGACACCACACACAGGCGCAAGGTTTCTGCTCCCATGAGATGCACAGATGCACAACCACATCCAGATGCACTTGGACCACTCCCCATTACACACACACACACACACACACACACACACACACACGCACGCACACACACCCCACTTTCCCTACCTTCACAGCCCTAGCCATAGATACACCACCTCTCTCCTCAGGAAGAAGCGAAGATGCTGTCAGGATGACAAGAGCATCCTGGATGGACACAAGAGTAAACTCTTGCTTTTAAAATCCTTCAGGGGCCCAGTGGGGGGATATGAGTGGGAACCTCTACTGGACACTAGAGCTTCCCTCTTTCCTCTCTTTGCCTCCTGGAGCAGAAAGAGGTTTGAGAATGGATGTCAGGAAGATGCTTGCCTGGTGGCGAGTAAGCATGGGGCCCTGGTGTTCAATAGCCCATGAGCCTGAGACACCCCTTCCCTGCCTTCACTCTCTTCTCAGAATTGAAGTTCCTCTCTTCTCTCCCAGCTCCTTCCACCACACAGAGGTGTCTCTTCTTTACCCAGGGTTCATCACATAAGATTAGTGGAAGCCACACAAAGTTTATGGAATGTAGCTCTCCTAAAAGGGACAGAAATAGAAAGCTTGGAATCTGCCAGCTTTTGGTAGGAGCCCTCCCTGCTGCTCAGAAAGGCGCAGCTGCTCTTCCCCCAAGCCAATTGGTGGTGGCGCCTCCATTAAAGTACAGGCTACTGACTCCATCCAGTCCTTTGTCCCTGCCCACCACCCCTTTCCAGTCTCCTTTTCCTGAGAGTGCACAGCTGGGCCTCCCTGCACATGGGGCCACCTTTGGCAGTTCTATGCAGCAAGGCTCAGTCCAGCCTCGTTCTCTTTTTAATATCAACACCTGCATGCTCAAAGTCCAATCAGCGTTTTGATTACACATGTGCCATCAAAAAAAAAAGTGACTGTTAAATCTATATGAATTTCTGAGGCAGGAATTTGCAGTGACCCCCTTCCAGCTGGCTTCGCCCAGGACCCTGGAGTGCAGCTGGTAGGTGAAGGCCAGGGAGAGTCCAGAAATCACAAAAACTAGACTCTGTAAAGTCCAGATGCACCTCCATTGAGTGAGAGTGGCTTAGAAACAACTTAAAAATTGTGCAGTGCTGATGGGCTCTCAACATGGACACATGCAAACCAGATGCAACCATTATACAAATAATATGCAAAATACATGTGTGGGTTTTCCAACTACTGTAAATGCAGATGTGACCCTTTTGGACTCTAAGATTAGGAGGACTCTCAGAGCCCTGTTTTGGGGTAGAGAGACGACCCTGGACTCTCAATCTCTTATGGTGTCAGGAAGAGCTGAACTCCAAGGTTGTCCTTAAATTGTGGGAAAGAACCAGGCAGGTTGTCAATCAGACCTAGATTTGGATCCCAGCTCTTCCTCTCACAAGTTGATGACCTTCCTGGAGTCCCACCACTCCTCAGAGCCTTTGTTTTCTCATCTGCAAAATGGGTATTATGAGGGATGATGAGAACTTTGGCTGAAACTCCCAGCTATATGATCTGGCATATAAAGACACTCAGCTGTGCAGTACTCAGCACAGAGTCCTTTTCTGGGGGTTGGATGTCTTGGCCCTTTTCCAGTCCCTGAAACAGTTGGCTATGCCCCCACAGTCTGAGGGCAGGACCTTCTCCGAGAGCAGCACGCACAGCAATGTGTTTGAGGAATTCTGGTATTGGGTGAGCCAGGAGTCCACACACTTCTCACTCATTCAGAAATCTGTCAGAGGTCCCACTCTACAGTGGGTTGTTGGTATCCGGTCCAGACCCTCTTTACCTGGCTAGTGCACCCACCTATCCCTCTGTCATAGGCGTGATGACTGCTGCTGCCCATAGCTCCCCCTTGTGCCATGAACTGTGTCTGGCTGATGACAGTCACCTCCCCTGGGAAGTTATGAACCTCCCACCCCACAGCCAATGATTGGCCGATGCAGTGACACAAAAGATAGCCTGCTCACCTCTAGAGAGGCTCATAGTGCAGTTTATGCTGCACAACCCCTGGATTATGCCATGTCTAAACTCTTCCTGATGTCTATTGTTCTGTGCCTTTGTCTTCTGCTTCTCTCCCTCCCTTATGTATT